CCAAACAGTCCACTAGCTCTTATACCTTCTGTTGTATTGAAGGTAAACGGTGAATATGATTTTAGGATTTAAGTTATTTTATGGGAATTACATCTGACGTGTACACCTCAAAGTTCTGTAAGGCTGTTAGCACCTGCTCACATCCTGTTACGCAGGAAGCGATGGGCATCTATTTTTGTCCTTCTTATTCACAGCACGACTAAATAGAGACACTATAGAAACATGTGCATGCACACATACAAAGACACACAAGCGAGCTCATACTGACGTACCTACACCGTACCGCTCCGTGGTGGTCTTCGTCCAAGGAGCCATGACTGCATGTAGCCCCACTTTCTATTTTGAGTCTTGTCTTTCCGACTCACCTCCTATTTCTCTCTCTCTCTCTCTCTCTCTCTCTCACTCCTTCTGTTTTTTAAAGAAGACTGCTTGCTGAACTTTTTACTTCTGTATTTTTTTTGTTTTACTTCAAATGAAAGCAACAGGCCCATCCCCCTTTGCCTCTCTTCCTCTTCTGTCTCTCGTCTCTTCCTGACTTCAGGCCGTAAGAGGAAGTGAGTGACTGTGACAAGGTGGAGTCCTGTAGAGCCCACAGGCCTGCGTAGTGTGTGAAGTCTCCTTTTTTCTCATTTGGACTTAGCTGATTACTTTATCTGTATTATGATTGAATGTAAAACAATGTTAGGGGTTGAACAGTGATGTAAATAGCATGCTTTAATGGGCAAGTTTTATTCGTGATTCATTCTCAAATATGATCAAAATGAGTACTGGACAACACACAGTGTGCAAAGTCGGTGAACCGTGGATGACTTCAATCGATAGTTTACCAGCTCACACTGTGTGCACTCACCTCGTCTCTATGTGTCATCCCTCAACCTTGTGAAATACAAAGTGTTTGAAGTTGGAAGACGCAGCACCACAGGCAATATAGCTTGATGTTGTGTCACCTGTCATCTCTCCACCTTTCAAAAATGACGAATATAAAATGCTTATGTTACAAGATGTTACTCTGGAAAATGGTATCACGTATTACAAATACGCATATAGCAACACAGCAGCAGCTCAAACAGCATCTGGACTGTTGATTTTACCGAATACATTTCTAGTGAAACAAAGTGTTAAGTCGTTTCTAAATTTGCTGGTTTCAGGAACTCAGTTCAGAGATGAAACTAGTTACACAATCCTTCACCTTCCCTGTATCCACTTCAGATGATGTTGCCAGGGTAACCATCAATTGTCAGTGCTGAGAACATCCTCAAGACAAACATCTGGTACGAGCCTTTCATAACACTTTACTGACACCACTTTGTTTTACTAATTTATGGATAAGATAGTAAGATTTAGCATCCAAACGCTGCATTTCTAAACTAAAAATCATCCGTCCTTACAGCTTTTATCATCAGCATGAAGGTTCCCTGTTGAGTTTTTGACCTCAAATAGCAGTTTTGAGCTTTTTTTCACGTTTTGTTTATCCCATACACACGCCTGCAACGGGGAAGAAGAAGACTGCTAGCAAGAAAACATGGATGTAAACAATGCAGGAGTTAAAATACTTACAGAATCAGCTTTTCAAATGTTTTGAAGAAGGAAATGCATTCAAAACATTTGTTAGAGCTTTAAGGACACAGACAATGTGTTGATTTCTTGGCTAAATTAGTTTTGCCTGTTTTCCTGTGGCTATCACACTAACACACACTAACAAATGGCTTATTCCTAGAAATGAAGTCAATACTTTGCTGATCCAATAGAGGGTGGTAGAAAGTTCTAAATCATGTTTCGTTGTTTGTTTCATTCCCCCTAGCATTGCCTCATCTTCTCTTATCAAAATATGGCTTATTTTAAACATGTTGTTTACCTAGACTTTGAGCTGTGGTTTTATTTCCCACAGAAAAGATTTAAATTTCAATGCTAATGGATTTTGAGGTATCACTGCCAACTGCCTTTTTACACACTACCAGACAAATAAATGGTCCCTTTCCGTACTCTGCCTTGCATGGGAACGCTCTAGCCCAAAGGCATCAAAGCCAAGGAACACCTAAGTGAATTATTAAAGATATCACTGATGACACCGTCAACCCAGAGGTGGCAGTTCCAGAGGTGTCTTCACTAGCTCAGAAACACCAGAGGGTGTGTTGTTGTGGAAACATGAGGGGAGACAGAACTTGATTCAACACACGGATTGGATTTTGATTCAACACTGACAGAAAGGTGAGCATAGAAACATCACCAGGTATGAACATGTGAGGAGGTGACACTCAGTAACATGTGACAGAATGTGTTTGCTTTACAAAGGGAGAGTGATGAAGAAAGGAGATAAGGACAGAAGAAAGAAAAAATAATGATAAGAAAGATATGTTATCACATAGGACTGTGTAGTGGAACAACACTGGGACCTTGTTGCTGTGGCACAAGGAGAAAGAAGGGTGAAGCTAAACGGTGCGTGGAAAGAAGCAACTTGACTGATATAACCAGAGATGAAGCTATAGATGAAGGAATAAAAAGAGACAGCAGGCTTTAACAGCAGTAAAATAAACAATATGAGATTAAAAAGAAGATTTAATTCAGAATCAGCTATGATGTAAAGAAGCCCACAGGAAATGAGACAGAGCCAGAGACACGGAGGTGAGACCGATAAGGAAAAGGGAGGGTAAAAAAAAAAAGACTAAAGTTATAAAAAGAGACGCAATAATGAGTTGTGAATGTTAGCCTGCAACCCAGGAGATGAATTTATAGGAAATGATAGAGAAGCCACACCAGGGGCCACAGAGCATGAAGACTAGATACAAAGGCAGAGTAAAAGGCTGCACCAGAAATAGAGAGATTGATTTAGAAATCTTTGTGACCTTTCGGGTCACTGAAATCCCGCCAGAGCAACTTGTGCCAGTTCTCATAGACTTTCCTCCCCTGAAAGCCATCCATCCATGAAGCTCTAAAGAAGCAGTAAACTGTTTAAAGTTTAGAGTGCAGTGGTATTTGTGTCAGCATGGGACACGGAAAGTAAAACAAATCTTAAAAGACATGAAATGATGCATGCATGGATACCATGCCTTCCTGTGTCTGCCCACCACAAACTGGACTTATTTGCCAGCAATTCCATTAAGGCAGAATGCAACAGGTTGCTTGGATTACTCTGCCCAGTCTCCAAAGGCAACCGTTTGTTGCCGCTTTACCCCAGCAGCTGGCACATGCAAGTTAGAGGACATGATTAGAGAATGGAAGACCTATTCGAACAATTTCAAAAGCAATTTACCCTGAAGAGATGGAGACGAATAATAGGCGGCGACACGGGGGGGGGCGGGGAGCTGTGTGTGAGTTTCTGTTGCTCCCTCGCTTTATTCTCTCGCCCCTGTCTTTCCCACACACACTCATTACGCACACGCTTCACAAGCGAGACTGTGGTTCCCTGCGCTCTCAGGGAGCAGAACAGAGTAGCGGGGGCAGTCGTCTCAGAAAAGGAAAAGTGGCACGAAGGTGAGTTGATTATTTCCTACTTTATAATTGTTAAAAATGAATTGAATGAGTTGTTTGTGTGTGTGAGAAAATGTAGTCAATCCAGCTGTGCTTGTGGTCTAACAGCATCATTGAGTTTGACTCAATATTTACTCTGAGTCTGCATTGATTTGCTGGTATGCATTTCAGCAGCTAAACAGGAATATTAGAGGAACATAGTTTTCAAGTAAAAGGCAGAGATAGTGAGGCAGTAGTCTATGATTGGTTAGTACGACATTCAACCTCTGTCCGGAACAGACTCATAGCACCAGTTACTGCTCTAAAAGTGTGTCAGCTTAGTCGTAAGAAAACTATTTATTTCTGTTTTTGTAATTGTGCTTATATCTGAGATTCAAATTCCTGTTTGTGGTTGTAAAGAGATCAACTGAGTCAATCCTGAACCTGGTGTGAGCATGTGAAGTCTGCACAAAGACAAATATACAAAGGGGTCATTTAATCAGTACTGAACATGAGGAAGTGAGATTATGCTGTGTGTGTGTGTGTGTGTGTGTAATTTATCTTTTACTGGTTGCTACATGACATATTTTGAAGTTCTACAATTGAACACTATTATGTTGATAATGTTTCTGTAGCTAGTGCTCTTTTCATATTTTATGTACACAGAAAGTGTGCTTTATACTGCTAATGCTTACTAATGCTAACCAGCTTGTTTCACTTCTGTTGCTAAAGCTGTAAAAACATACTTCACCAGGAGAAGAACTATCTGACGTCAGATATTTAAAGGAAATCACTAAATCACTATTATGGCAGCAGCTTAATTAAACAAAAGCAAGTAAGACACAAATGTATTACAGTGAAAATGTTGCACATCATTATTTTTAGAGCTTAAACTGTGGGGGTCCAAGTGAGCAACGACAAGTCATTGTGCAATGTGTGTGTCTGCTGAAACAGCCAACAGAAAAAATCGATGTGGTTAAGTGTCATGACTTGGTCAGGGATCCATAAGCATACATTGTAGTTCCTGGTTTAATACCAGAAAGAGCAACTATAAGAAATGACAGGAAAATTGTTGATTCTGGACCTGTGCAAGTGTGTTTCTCTATACAAATGTCTGAATGTACTTACACCTATTAAGTTGAGCTACTGCATCCAGAAGCTGTAATGTTGACATAACAGAGGTGTGGTGAGGACAAGACTGACAAATCGAGGGCAATTCATTATCCCTGTGTGACTTAAACGTGTGTGTGTATGTCTGAGACACAGATATGCATGCTGTTCGTATCAATGCATATTTTATGTGCCTGCTCCCCCCCCCCCGTTGTCTGTGAACCTGTCTGACCTCACGTCTGTCGCTCAGCGTGTTTCATTTTCACGCTTCGTCAAGATTTCACAGCTTCCTTCCACTGGTCACGACACACAACTGTTACCAAGCAACCCACCATCCACATCCCTTTCTCTCTCTCTCTCTCTCTCTCTCTCTCTCTCTCTCTCTCTCTCTCTCAAGGACAACACAAAGACAAACAGGAAGACAGACACGAGCACACACACACGCAGACCCACTCACATCCACAAAAATGAAGACAGCTATAGATTTCTTTGCAAAAGCAGGGGAAGCGAGTGAGCCAAGTATTTTTACTCAATTGAATTATATCAGAATAAATAAAGCATTCAGAAGTCTGATTGCATTATGTCGCTGTGATGGTCGCTGCTTGCAGGGACATCTGTGGGCCACTTCAGTATGACAGTCCTCACTAAATAAATGTTTATTGACCTCATAACAATTCCTTGCTTTTCATGTAGGCCTATAGTAAATCTAGAATAAACAATCTACAACTCTGCTAAAGAGTTCAGAAGATGGCATAATGAACACGAGCTACTGCCGCTTTCACTCGCACGCCTGTCTAATCCTTTGACCACTCTGCAGTTGACCAACCACTCCCACAGAATCCATGTGACTGAGTGCATGGCGTCACTGCGTGTACTTGGGCCGTGCGGTGCTGCCGACACAAAGCTCCCCACACGTTTGAGCAGCATTGCAGACAAATGGCAAGTGGTGTGTTTCGGTGAGTCATCTTGCCAAACCTCCTAACGGCAGATACGCTGACTGTGATTGAGTTTTAAGGGCTTGAATGAATCAATGAATCAATGAATGGGTTATTTCCTGCAATTATTCTGCAGCAACCACAGAACAAAAAGTGAATTTGACACCCTTATCCCAATAGTTCAGTGATTTTTAGTAGGGCAGAATTAAGCAATTTCTCCGCATAAACATAGTTTAACACATTACATTGCATTGGTGACAATACACATGATTACTTAATGATTGGGCTGAAGAAAAGACACAGCTGGCTGGTATAAAAAGGTCACAGAATGAATACTTGGTATTTGGAGAATCTCCAATCAAGCAACGAGTCCCAGTTGAGAGGTAAATAACCTCATTACTCATCTCCGAGCTCAGACCGTGTCTGGTGAAGATCCACTGCTCCAAGTTCTTTTCTGCCTGCCTTTTATCTCAATACCCAAATTGGGCTCTTTTCACCAGACCACTTACTGAGTAATGGAAGGTCTAGATGGGGCAGATTGAAGCCTCTCCAGCTCATTTGCATCGTTCTTGTGCTGGAAGATAGCTGACAGTGAGAGGAAGCTGTCTCTGAGTTCCTTAAGGTTAACCGCTTAATATTTTTGTTTTTCCAACTGTTACACACAGATAGACCTGGGCCAGGACAACCTCTTAACGCTGTCCTCAAAACCACAGACCCATACACCCTTTTGTTGTCTCTTGAAACAGCATTCTCCTGCAGAAAACCACAGAAAGTAGAGCAGCCTTTAAAACACAGCTCTCAGCGGTCATTACAATCCATTACAGTCCTCAAAATCCATTACTAAGACATAAGTTTCAGGTTGTGAGTTTGCATGCAAGCCGACATGCGAGTGCGTGCGCTGTAGTAACACTCACCGTTGTCTTCCATTAGGGACAACTAATGAGAGGTTTGTGAAAGAAAACAGATGGTCAGTAATGAAGTATCACACTGTCTGAATGAATGATGCTTTATCTACTATCATTCTTCAACTTAAAGGTGAATGACTGACTGTGACTTCCTGCTGTAACGCATTCTGCGCAGACTAACAGTGACTTGATGAAGTAAAATCACATACAAGACATTTGTGCTAACTAAGCTTGTGCTCACCAGTGATTCTTGATAACAGAGTGGCCAGGATTGTATATTAATAAAGTTTTATTATAACACAAATGTTTATGCAAAAATAAACAGGAAACGAATATGGTTATGCTCAGACACACGTGCACTGTAACATGGGAAAAGGAACTAATGCATTTGGCTGAAGGCAGATAAGTGAACACACCCTCATATACATTATGTCCCAGGGTTGAGACGAGGTTAATCGAAAGCTTCTATGGACTATAATTCATGTCCACATGAGGACATTCCTCACAGACGCGTGTTGGATCCAAGCCAAAACTAGTTCCAACTGTGCACGTGTTTGTGAGTGAGACAAGAAAGGGGTTGACAGTGGGAGAGACAGATTTGATTTGATGATGAAAACAGTTGAAATGTGAGGTCTCAGTGAGTCAGTCAGTCTGTGGCTCTGTCAAATATAAAGGCTGAGATGTCATGTGCATTTGAGAAAACGCACTTCATACGTTAGTGATTGTGTTATCAGTGTTTGCTCTGGATGAAGTTCAAAGCAGTGAGTCGGTGACAGAAATGTGTCCATGGAACAAAGAAGCCGAGATTAGAGGAGTTCATAGGTTAGAGACGGTGTTCTGGTTTCAGTAGACCCAGATTTTAATTAAAACCTTTCTTTCTGTGGCTCCTTTTTTTTTCCGTCTTCATGTGAAGCCAGCGTGTGCACCTCTCCAAGTCGCGCTCTCTCTTTGAGGTGATAAGTGAGCGGCTCCTGATAAAGTCTGGCAAATGTCCCAACGTCCATTACAGTGTTAGAAAATAGACGAGCAAACATTACCCACCACCCACTGACGCAAACACATGTACTCCACACACACATCCTCACTTATCAAGTATGCGCATTCCTCCGAGCACACATTAAAAACTCATGCCGGCATGCCATTAATGACTTCACAGAAGACAAATAACATTCTGAAACTCTCTCGACGAGGTCTATGTAAGAAACAAAAGCTGAAATATCCAAAAGCAAATGATTTTTGTCAAAATTACCTTTACAAACTACTAGAAATGACGTCTATGTTGATTGTTTGACAAAGAACCTTTTTGTTATTCATGGCCACTATAACTGTAACTGTATTTATTATCATATCATTATTCACTCACTGCTCTCATCAGTCAAACCAAGCCTTCCATCCATGGCATTGCTGCATCAAAATGTTATTCATATTTAACTGATACCGAAACAAGACTTGGCTTCATCTCAACTGCAGCAGTTTGCTCAGAGATACTTAGTCATGCTGGCTGTTTACACAGTGGCACAACTTGGCCTAAGCTAAACAAACTACTGTTTTGTTTCATATTCATATCATGGTTTTATTACAGATGGATTGGAATTCCCATTAGCGTTCGGTCTGAAATGGCAGCTTCACTTTTGCTTTTGTTTTGTTTTTACTTGATTTCTTTATATTCTCCAGTCTCATGATAGTTTGTGACTCGGTTTATACAAAAAATATTTTTCTGCAATAGTGTATTCCATCGTTTAGTGTACTGTATCAGTCCATAGTTGGAGAAAAGGGTCTCAGAGTGCCCAAAGATAAAATGCGCGCACACACACACACACACACACACACACACACACACGCACACACACACACGCACACACACACACACACACACACACACACGCACACACACTGAAATGAAAATACTGTGTCTCAATATTTTGTTAAACAAGAGAAATGGGAATGTATGTGGTACATAAATAGTTGTAATGCATGTAAAGTAGGCTACTGTAATAAATAAACTATAAATAAATCAATAAATTATATATAACAAGCTACAGTTCTAACCAAACCTCTTTGTTGAGTGAGCATGCCAGTGCAATATCTGAAACTACAGGAAATCCTGTGCTGATTACCAACTGTGTGTCTCATCTCTATCCACTAGATGTCACTACAGCCACAGAAGATGGTGTTGAAGCCAAAGCGAGGCCATGGACCAACAAGAACAGGAACACTCTGAATGATCATATGTAATAGCGGTATATGTGAGGCTAAGGCTTATGATGTGTATGTCCTCTTTGGAAAAAAGAGAGACCTCTCATTTAGTTTAACACTGAAAGGAAAACGTAACAATGGTTTGCATAAAGCTCCAGCGATGAAGTCATCAGATTGTTTCCAGTGAAGCACCAGCGATAATGTTGTCACAAGTGATGCTGGGAGTCATCCTGTCCCTCCTCATCCTTCTGACCGTCAGTGGTAATGTGCTGGTGTGCCTGGCTGTCTGCGCCTCCCGACGCCTCCGCTGCCTCACCAACTGCTTCATCGTGTCGCTGGCTGTGACGGACTTGCTGCTCGGCCTCTTGGTCCTCCCTTTCTCCGCCCTCCTGCAGCTCAACAACGAGTGGCCGCTCGGCCCGGCCTTCTGCAACTTCTACATCTCCATGGATGTCATGCTGTGCACGGCCTCCATCCTCACCCTCCTGGCCATCAGCGTGGACCGCTACCTGGCAGTGACCATGCCTCTGAGATACGCCTCACTGGTGCTGCCGTGGAGAGTTGCTGTGGCCATGGCCAGTGTTTGGACAGTGTCTGTGGCCGTGTCTTTCTTGCCCATCCAAATGGGCTGGAACACTGTTAACGGCACAGTGCAGAACTACGGGCCCTGGGCTCCAGTGGGAAAATGTCGTTTTGAGCTGAACAGGCCCTACGTACTGACAGACTCTCTTCTCACTTTCTACCTGCCTCTGGTGGCTATGTGCTGGACGTACCTACGAATACTTCGCATTGCCCGGGCACAGGCCAAACGCATTATCAGTGCCCGACCCACTTCCATCACGAGCTACAACTGCAGGGACAACCCTTCCACCAGTACCACTGTAGTTTCCAGCGTAACAGCAGTGGCTCTGCGGGAGCACAAAGCCACAGTGACACTGGCAGCAGTGATAGGGGCTTTTGTGGTGTGTTGGCTGCCATACTTCATCCTGTTCACAGTGTTGGGCCTAAAGGAGCAACCAGACCCAAGCACAGTACCAGAATACTCCATTGTGTTGTGGCTGGGTTACACCAATTCAGCCCTCAACCCTATTCTTTATGGAGCCCTCAACAGGGACTTCAGGTTAGCCTACACCCACCTACTGAGATGTCGATGCCCTACTTACGGTGGGTGGATGAGCCGGCAGCCGTCTCAGACTGTAGCAGCAGGTAAAGCCGTAAAAAGCTTGAAGTGTGCAGGTGAAATTGCACAGGTTTCAGAATTCAATTAATTTAAGAGTGGGCGTTTATTTATGAACAACAAAACGTTGCAACCAGGGTTAACACATCATATGTTCTTATCCCAGGTTCTCCAGTTTTTTGTCTTCTTTTCCTTCTTTCCCCCTCTCAGCCAGAGACCAGCTTACAGAGGTGACACTGCTGTGTGGACACACCCCTGCCACATGCAGGGCAGGTCAAACAGAGCAAAACTTAATGCTTCAAGAAGTGAACAGCAGGACAGCCACAGCAACTATCCATTTTGCAAACGGCACTGCTGTCACAGATGTCAACGCCAATGAAAGGTAAATTATTATTCAGCATATACTTATAGTATGCTTCATGAACACCAACAAAAAAAAAAAAAAGTACATGACCTGACATGATGCTGAGATGTCCACGTTGGCAATGTTCTCACATGCAGAGTCATGACTCAAAACTCAAAAAGTGATCATTCACATCCAAATTTGGGTGAAAATGCTCACAATGAACACTCACAATGAAACCGAGAAAAGACCGTGATCCGTGCATTATGTGACACCCCGCTCTCAGTATGTAATTGCACCCATCGTATATTCTTCCTTTTAAACACAAAATCTGAATCGGTCACACAAACATTTTATACTTCGCTAATTCCTCTCTGTGAGTGCAGGTCGTGCTGAGCCTGTGCTGGTGAGGTGGGTGCTGTGTACCGCGGTTGCAACCAAGAACCAAAATCCATCAGCCAAAGAGGAAAGAGCAACAGACAGACGACGGAAGATGGACAGAGATTTAAAGCCCCTCTTTGGAAGCCTTCAGTGCTGCAGTTGAAGCACCCATAATACAACATGTAAGTAGATCTACACACAGACATCCCTGTTACCCCCCACAGACGATGTCGGGCCCAGAACAAATGAACTGTGACACACAGATCCTAGCGGTGTCATCCACGCTGCATCAGGCCATATGGCAATATGCTTATTAGGCCAAGAAATTTGCTTTCAGCACAGAGGAGATACATTATCCAGTTTCACATCCTGCTCTCATTTCTTTGTTCGCACTTTGTGAAGAGTATTGACTCAGCGGTTTGCTCTTCGTATGTGCTGCTTTCGTAAGCGTGTATTAGTTAAAGCAACAAAACAACATCTTCATGATAACCGACACATTCTTAAAGACCGCCTGGTCATTCAAACTTGAGATCAGTATCTAACTATATACATGAGTATTATACATTAAATGTGCAACATCAGACACTTAAGCCAACATAAGCACAGCCTTATGGCTTTTGTCATATTTCATAAAGCCAGTACGACTAAAAAAACGAACTAATGATGCCTTGTTCTGTCTTTAAGAGGAGAAATCATTACAGCACTCGGATAGAAAGCTAACATCACATCTTACAACTGTCTATATTTGGAGAGGTATTTCTCTAAACCTGAGTGGTTGATCTTTTTTTTTTTTAACTAAAAAGGTCAACCAGCAGAATGTATTATTTATGTTTTATTGTAATCTCTTCTCTTTTTCTGAACTATTTGTTTTGGTCTTCAAATTGAAAATGTATTTTGTGTTGTTTTTTTTCCATTGCTTCTTTGAAAGAAAATGAATAATTACAGCAGTTTCTCAGCGCTAAAATATTCTTGTGTGTGCACACAACTTTTAATATCTCTAGCACCCATCATACCTCCTAAAAAATGAATGTGCAGCTCTGTATTGGAAGTGATTGTTGATGCAGCAAATTGACTAATCTCTATACCAAGAGGTGGCGCTGATCCACACTCAGTGGTTAAGTGAATGATTCTTTCCTCTCCGCATACTGTAAACCCAATGTGTTTGAATCCTTTTTTGATTGGCATGTCTCTTCTGCCTGTTAGCAACCACTCTATCCATAATTCAACAAACAAAAATTGGAGAAAATGGGACCTCAGCAACTCCACACCTCATCAGCAAAGACCAACTGTACGCACACAGCCGGCCTCTACCAATCGAGAACCGAAGAAATGACGATGCTTCTACGTGGAGGGAGCTACAGCAATAATCACAGATATGCTCTCGAACTAACGGTGGGTAGTATTGAAGCTCTGGAGGACCGAATGAGACCAGCCGATTAACACGTCGGTCATCAATTTCATGAACTTAATTATTTATGCTGACTCGAGAGTGCACTCCAGTGGAAACACAACGTATCACAACTTTAACCTCGACAAACTAAATGGAAATGGATGTTTCACAAACAGAGATTGGAGGGGGAAATGTGATAAATGGACTTTTATTAAACTAACCTCTCCATGTAGAAACTAATGTTATGTGTCTATTTCGAAAAATGCAGATTGTGTCTTTTCTGATGCTTATTCAGTGGCATAAAGCTGGCAAATGTATGTATTGTATCATATTGTAAAAGTAACTGAGGACTGAAAATGGCTTGTTGCATAATTACAACCATACTGTACGAATAAAGGGCAGCTTAAATAAAGAATATAATGTATACTACCATTTTTAGAGGGCAAAATGAATAGTCTGTAGGCTGTAGTTACGTATGGATAGCGATTATCATGTGGGATGATGCGGAAAACATTGTATGAGTGGTAATACAAGTATGGAAACAATTCATCACAGCTGTCAGCACACATTGCCTCAAACTATTGCCACATTAACACTTAACCTTCTCCATACTTCAAGCTATTTCCTTTGAGGACTGAGATAGGAGCGTACATAATATCCATCTGCATGTCAGATGGGGGGGGGGGGGTTACAACCCATTCAACACCATGAAACAACTTAGATGGTATTTATAACAACCAAGCATTCCTTCAAATCAGCTCCACAGATTTTAATCTAACCATCAATACTTTGCGCAAGGAAGTGATCCCCTCCACCATGATTACACAGTGAAATAAGAGGGACAAATACACAGTCCTCGGTTACTCAGAGACAATTATGTGCACTTTTACTGTTATTTTAAAAACGCTCTGCACTTAATCTCTGAAAAGGATTCTGCAGACGAGCTACTCCCCCCAAAAACATACAGTTATGGTCAAGAATCCGAGATCAATAAATCATAAATCATTTAAGGAGGAGATTGCGGCAGCAAGCAGTGTTGGCATTAGGAATGAGGAGGGGTAAAGTGGGAACTTGACATTTTTAAAGGCCACTTAGCACATGTGATTAGATGTTAGTTTCCTGAGTCGGTGCAATCTCCAGCCGGCTCACCTTTGCTTAACTTTGACCGAGATCAGCCAATAGAAAGCCTGATGCACCCCGATGTTTGAAAATGTATTATACCATGATGTTTTAACACTATATAGGCTATATAGTGTATATATATATATTTTAGACATATGCTGCAACCAATTGCATGTCGGAAGTCAGTATTCCTGACTTGCGATCTAAATGCGGCACAGTGCATCTGCCAGGGAAAACAAGGCCGCTTGCAGGGAACTGATGTTTGTCTGGCAAGTCTGTGAGCTTCACCAGCATCTACAGAGGACCTACATCCCACCACAGCGCCATTAGAGAAGAGAATAAAACGTAACTTTCAAGAAACTTTATGAGCTTAAATTTTTGAAAAACTAATTTAAGACATTTTAAATGTGCAATGTAAGGAATTCAGAGCATTAACATAGCAGCAAACAAGTATTTGCTGTATAAAGATACGTGGAGTAATGTCTGCCTGTGCAGAGAATGAACTCTCCCTCTGTGTGTGTTGTTATCCGAGCGTCTCCTTGCTTTGTGTACATAGCCGGGCCGGCCATTTGTGCTTTAGTGCATGTTACATGTGAGCAAGCACTACTGGTTAGCTCACGGCCGCCGCTCTGCACTGCTGTCATACGGCGGTTACAGCTGATAACACCATCCCATCGATTGGTGTTGTCCCAACAGCGTAGCACCCACCCTCCAGTTGCCCCTCAGCTAAACACTGTTAGCTCTGTCTGCACTCGCTTTTAGCACAGTTAGCTACGAGCCGCAGGCTCAGCCGTCGCCATGTTGAGAGCTGTTGAGAGGCAATATAAACGTTCCCAATCTCGTATTTAGCAAGTTTAAGGATCTGGGTAACCCTGTTAAAAGAGACGGGAGGCGTAGACTTCTGGCTTACCACTTGCTCGCAAAGACATCTATCAAGCACAAATCAACTGAATAGAAATGGCAGCTTCAACGTTGTTACATACAGTTTCACATCACAAACACTGCATAAAGTAACACTTGGTATAAAAGTTTATTCTGCCGAGGTTCACTGTGTGCGCCGTCAAGTTGCTGTGACATAAGGTCCGTTTATGTCGGGGCTAGATGGACCTTACCCGAGTTTACCAGTTGGAATTCTGATTTGCAATTTTCTGTATTGGAGGTTGGGTTCTGAGTCAACATTTATCTATTACCTACCAGAACAATAACATTACGTCACTTATATATGTATATGACCATTTCTTCAGCCGTGCAAATTGTTTAGCTTCATTATTAGTGTTGAGAAAAATACAGAAATGCGACTTCCACGATGTATCCCTCCAGCACGGATCAAAACACAGAGAAGATTTTCACACTAAAGACAGTCTCACTTTGAAATACAGCCTCTTGACTTCATTTGTTCAGACTGCTGAAGCCTCTTATTAGGCCCGGGTGAACGTTAGAATGCATCTTTGCACAGACCAAGGACTGTATTTTTGTCCCCAATCACTTACAAGGTAGCAGCACGAGAAGGGATTACTTCTTGAGGATAATGATTACAGTGAACAACTCTTTCCAGGTACAGAGCAGTGAGTATTTTATCAACCTAATAATAAACAATGTATCATTTAAATGCCTTTAAAAAGGCTTTTTCTGAGTCACAGTGAGAAGAAAATGACAAACAGATGCAGTAAATGTTTCATTTAGGGGTTTCATGGCTGAAAACCAGAGTAGTTAATAACTCAGAGATTCCGTCTTATCTGTGCTCCGTCCTCTCTAACTTAAAGACATTTATTAGGCTTTCATCTCCTTTAGTCTCGCTCTATTCCTACATAAACATCATGTGTTCTTTGGTAATTCTGGTCACTTGCTACCCGTCTCCATTTCTTGACCATTGACAGCTCAGACTACATGAAAACCATTCATCATTGCTTCTTTAACATCAGATTAATGTGGTGGAAAACAAAACATATGGACTCTCTCTCTCCTTCTGTCACTCTGATGCACACTCACACACACATACAGTACCCACACTCGGCTAGCTCTGTATAAGCTATCAATCATAGATTTTGTCATTATTCAACTGTGTCATCGACAAGCCCCTCTCCTCCTTTCTCTCTCTAGTCTCTGACTTTGTCTCCCTTCTTCCCTCCCTCTATTCTCTCTCTCTCTCTCTCTCTCTCTCTCTCTCTCTCAGACACAGACAGAAGAGAGGGAATCATGAATCATAAATCTTATGAATGCCATCTAAAGACTGCTCAGCGCTATGAGAAAGAGAGATGATTGATAGACGTGAGTGACTGTGGCGAAAGCAAAGAAGATGGCCAGAAGGTTGTAACCAGCAACACTGAGGTCAGAAACCGCAGTTCAAGGGTCAAACGTATCAGAGGAGGCACAATATGGCCAAGAAGGAAGGAGAAAATGGGGGATTGAGGGGGAGGAGGGGAGAGAGTAAATGGTTGAAGGGGAAGGGAGAGAGGGAGGAGGAGGAGGGTGTGGGGGGATGCTGCCACAGTGAGGCTAAAGCCATAACTCATCTTTTATTAAAAATAATGAAAAAAACTTAATGAGTTAATAATATCATGGAGAAGGAGATAGGGAGTGAGACAGAGATGGAGGAAGGGACGGGAGGATGGAGGAAAGGAAGGAAAAGAAGAAAGGAAATGAGGAGAGAGACACGGCGGAGATAGAAAACAGAACAGGGTCAATGTGTGTCTCTTTTCATCCTTTGGTCATTTATTCCAGTTTTCAAAGTTCACACAAGATCCATTACAGAGGCAGGGACAATCATAGTGATCCCCCTCTTTCTGCCGGCCTAAATCCCAAAGCCTGCTTGGTAATTAAAGGCACTTAACAACCAATTAACAGTGATGAGCTAAATTAGCAGGATATTGTCTCCTTTGACTAGGCTACTGCATTATCAGTGTATTGAAACAGCGATGAACAAACCTCAGTGGCCCGTGTTTGCATGTAGGCAAATGACGGATTAATTACTATTAAAACATCAGCATCTTAATGAGCTTGGAAACAATTAGAGAGGTCGTTAGCATGTGGAGAACGGCTGAGAACAGAAGAAAGGGGGGGGGGGGGGGTTGAGTGAGCACAAAACAAGAGAGAAATCTTCATTGGGAAGCAATACTGATTAAATGGACGTACGTTCGCACTCATCGCCCAATATCTGCGGACCTATTAAACACATGACATCACCATTTGTCTTTTCTACCATCAAGCTACTTTTCTCCTGCCATTATCTTTCCCCCTTTCTACTCCGGCTTCCCCAACTCGCTGCCTTCGTTTCGCCTCTCATAAAAAGCCTTTTTCTTGCTCTTCCACTCCTTTCTCTACTTTCTGCTTTTTCACTCCCGTTTCTTCCTTCCTTCCTTCATGCTTGGGGGGCACAGTCCTGTGAAGGAATTTAATATGCAACTTTTATATGAGAAACCAATCGCATACGTCTGGGTCTATTGGGCTCGCAATCTATCGGCCCGGACGGCTAATGCAATAGAGAGAGCCGGGGCTATTTATCACACAGGGAGCTATCTTTTCCCCTCTCTCTCTCTCTCTCCCACTCTGCCCTCGCTCTCTCTGTCTTTATTCAAGCCCAGATTCCTGGCTGCCACTAAATCAGGCCAACTATGAGCTATGGCTGCCCAGAGGGCATCTCTTCTTTTATAGAGGGATTTGGATTTTGTATCTACTGGTTCCTCAGTGGTCGTTGAGACTGTGCTAACGGAAGCTATAAACATTCAACAAACAAAAGGCAACCACTTAAATGTTCCTCCGTCCCCACTGTAATGATCATGAACATGTAGAGATATATGGACGGAGGGGGATGCATAAACCTGATGAATAACGTATCAATGGCATTTACAGTTATGCCGCAAAGATTTGTTTGTGTGCTTCAGACAGACACACATACAAAGACTACACATGAACAGACACGTGTACACACACGTTACTGTTTAAGTAATGCGCTCTAATTCACACAACATTACTTGTAGTAGTCGCACACGGCAGCAGCACAACCTCAAAAGTTTCCTGCTGAAAAACAAAAGCGACAGTGTGCAGGGGACGCTGCCCACCTGCAGCAATTAAAATGCCTCAGAAAACCCAAATTCATTTCAACAAATTAGCCACATTACTGGCCACTGTGTAATCGCTGATGGCAATTAATAAGAAATTAGTCACAATCAGCCCTATATTAACATCTCACCCAGGGGCCGCGGCTGGAAATTAATAACCGGAGATTCATCTCTCTTACTGTCTTTCTGGCTCTCTCTCTCTCTCACACACACACACATACACACACACACACACACACACACACACCTTTGCCCACCTATATTGTTCATGAATCTCCTCTAAGACACAGACACTGATTTTTTTCTGTGTGGATCGTCTCATATGATCCGCAATCTGCTCATGTCAGCTAGCCAGCTTCCTCTTTACTGGGGTGTGAAAAACCCCTGAAAGACATGTGTGTGTGTGTGTGTGTGTGTGTTTTCTCCCCAGTGC